CTAGGACACCCGCTGCATCTTGACGGCCCTGCCCGCCATCTCGAGGAGGCCCGACGGCACGGACTCCTGGATCCCCAACTTCTTGATCTGCGCCAGCGGGTCCGTGCATTGCTTCCGCATCCTGCTCAAATCGGACTTGTCCGTGTTGGCCGCCACGTACGCCAAAATGCCACCGTAGTGCGCAGCCCTGGCCATGCGGAACAGCTTCTCACCAAGGTCGATTGCCGTCTTCGTCGGTCCCGAAACCACGTCGTAGAACTTGGCGGCTTTCACCATCTGGCTGTGCTTGGAAACCAACTCGTCGAGCATCTTCTTCCGCTGCTCGGGCGAGTACGTGAAGATCGTGTCGCCAGCCGCAGTCACGCAATCCCCGATGATGTCGGCGTTGGCAGCGGCAGCGTACCACATCGCACCGTCGGTACCCCCGCCTGCAATGTCCTCCCACTTGTTGGACGCCACATCGTCATCGAAGGCCTGCTTGTACATGCCCACCACTGCAGTGCTGATGAAAGTGATGTACGCTGGCGTGAGCTCGTCGTCAAGCATGCGCTTCATAGGGTCGGGCGCGCGCTCATGCAGCTCGGACCTGATCGAGCTCATGGCCTTCGCAAGGCTGATTGCCTCCGCCATGAGATTAGCCCCAGCCTGCGTCACTGCAAGGTCCCTGTAGGCAGCGCGGTCCGTACCGAAGTGGTTCTCGAGTCTCTCGAGAAGGCGGGCCTGGTCGAGGGCAGCGCCCACGCATTTTTTCCACTGATCGTACCCCGTCGCCTGGACCCAATTGAACCACGAAGCAATAGCATCGCCAATCGCATCCGCCAGGTTAGTAGTGAGGGTGCCTTCGTGCTTGTGGTGGTGGATCGCCTGCTCCACTACAATGAACGCCTTGGCGATCACTCTCTGCTTGGCGCTTTCCTTCGTCGAGGGGTCGATGCCTGGGTAGACCTGCTGAGTGAACGTGACCGTCTTTGCCGCCATGAGGCGCCAGTCGCCACAAGAAGCAACGGCCTCGTGGGAGAAGAACAAGTCCAAGTCATTGAGGTAGGCCGCGGCAGCCTTACCAGTCTCCAGGACGGGGATGGCGTCGTTGATCTGCTTGAGGGTGTCCGCCCACTCGCCGCCGAACGAGAGGTGGCTGTGAACCGCAACGAACAAGGAGCGCTGGCACCCCCAGAAGCTATCGATGGCGGCGGAGGAGGATTTGTCCGAATCGATGTCACCGATCGCCCGCTTCACCTTGGCAGCCTCGTCATTCACCTTCGCACGAAAAAGGTCCTCGAGGATCTGCGCCGAGCCTGGCCGTGACTCCTTCATAAACGTGGAGAGCTCCTTCGCCATTGTGATCAAGCCATTCGTGGTCACGGCCTCACCAGCACGCAACGTCGCAATCATGGTGTCGATCATCGGGCGGAGCTTCCGCGTTTGATCCATGTAAGGCTTGAGCTTGGTGACCATTTCCTTCGTAACAGTCTCTGTCCTCAATGCCGTCGCCAACTGAGTCCGCGGGTCCTTTATGTCACGTTTCGCATCGTTGCGAAGGAGGTCCAGGAAATCGCTCCAATGCTCCACTGGAGAAAGAGGGTCCATCAGGCAAGCGAGACCTCGAAGGCAAGTGAGGAGCTTGAGAACTGCTTCGACGGCGTCGTCCTCCATCTCCCCAGAATCGGTCCAACGCTCGATGACGTAGTTGATCATGGCCATGATATTCTGGTAATCCTTCTGGTCCACCAGCCGCGCCATGACGCAGCCTGCGATGAAATGCCGAGTGAAGAAGTCAATGAACATGAAGGACTTCTCCCTGATGGAACCATCGATCGTGTTGAGCGTGGGGGCCTTCGCGTTGAACTTGAACCTCTCGCCGTCTGCCTCCGTATCCTGCTGGGCTGCGCCCCCGGCGTCATCGCCAGCGCCGCCGCGCCTGCCCCAAGGCTCCACAACGTCCAAGAAGTGCGTCAACGTGTCGACCTTGCCGCTGACAAGCAACGCCGCCGCGTCAGCGCACTCCCTGGTGAGCAGCTTCGTTTTGAAAGGCGTGGGGAAGTCCACCCCATGTTCAATCAGGTCACTCACGATCTTCTTAAGCCTCTCGATCGGCATGGTGTTCACGTGATCTTTCGGCTGGGATATCTCCTCCGCTAGCTTGCCCATGGCATAGTGCTGGTTGCAGGCGTTCAGTTCGTTCTTGAGGGTGGTGTCGGAGCTCTTGGCGTCGATCCAGTCTTTCAGCCTCCTGCGTTCCTTGCCCATCTTCTGACCCGAGAGGATGGCGACGATGTCGTACTTCATGATCGTGTGCTCCCACGCGCTCATGTCGCCAAGGTCGCCACATTGAGAATCTCCGTCGCCAGAGTCGCCGAGCGAGGTCCTCGATGTCCCATGGCTGATAGTCGACATGCCGCTGCCGAACCTTTGTTTGTTGATGCCCTTGTTGTCGGGCGTCCTCAGCTCCCCAGCCCCAGCGCCAGAGACGTGGCTGGTGACGTCCTGCACGTCGGGATCCTCATCGTCGCTAGCAGGAACTGGTGGCGGCGGCGACCCGTCGACCAACTGCTGTAGCTTCTTCTGCAGCTCCTTCATTGTCAGCGCCGCAGCCATCCTCTTGCGATTAATATTCCACCCAGTGTTGCCCTTGTTCATCGCCTTGGTGACCATACCAGGCTGCTCTTTGCGGTAATGCTTGCGCTTATCCAGCTTCGTCCGCTTGGTCGCAAGGGTCGACCTCTTGAAAAACCTGAAGCGCACGTACGGTTGGTTCAAATCCTTCATGAGCACGCCCTTGAACTTGTCGCCGTTGGGCCCCACGAGGTCTTGAATCTTGAGCCCTGCCTCCGACGGCTCGCGGCCCTGGGCGATCTCCTTGAACTGGGCGACGGTGAGGCCGACGCAGTCCTGTGATACCTCGACGCCAATGTCGCTGTCAGAGTCGATGCCAACCTCGTCGAAGTCCTTCACCTTCTCACCCCTCTTCACAACGGCACTCTCATCGAACCTCTCGTTCGTCTCCTCGTTATTGCGGCACTCCTTGCTCACATCCGAAAACGACCCTTCCACGGCCCACGAATCACGATGAACGGTGGCGCACTCGAGGCAGGCTGACCCGACGGGGACAGCGTTGCCATGCTCATCGGCCCCAGTCAAAGCCCACGGCTTCATGCTGCCAGGCGTGACACCACACCGTTCGCACTTACAAGAGTTCCCCACTGGCTGGCGACCTCGGGTCGGCACCGACGGCCCCGATGCAGACTTGCTGGAGGCCGCCTTCTTCTTCTCTCTAGGCTGCCGTGGGGCTGACGAGCTGGCCTTCGACTCACAGTCACTAGACGGCTGGCGTTTCGCTTTCTTCCTGACCATCGCAAGGAAGGGCGCGCCCGCTGGAGGCCGACCCGCCAAGTGCAGTGCAAAGTGCAGGTGGCACTGCAAGCCTCACATCTGGAACCTTCTAGAGCCCACATGCCTACGGCGAGCGATGGCGAGGGCAATGCCAGCTCCAAGTGGAACGCCGCCTCCTGGAACCGATTGGCCAGTCCAGGCCCACCCTTCGCGTGCACCAGACCCCACCCCCCCTGGCTAAACAGTCTTGGGCCCTTCTCATCAGCCCCCTATTGGTCTCGATAGCCTGGGCCTTCCCCAGACGGCCCCGACGCGGCCTATTGCTAGGAGCCCGACAGACGGCTCTAGATGACACAATACGGCTGCACCCCAGAGCCTACGGATAGCAACGACACCATCGCGCCGTCGGATCGTTTCTGGATGGGCTCTCTTAGGTATGTTGGATCGTTTCTGGATGGGCAGCACCTGCGGTCATGGCAACTCCCTTGGATCGTTTCTGGATGGGCGGGTCAGGGGGGGGGGCGAAGCGCTCGAGATCACTAGAACGACGCTGTTCGCAACCGCCTGCCCCCCTTTGATGTTTACGTTCTGGGGCATGCGTTGTTCGGGTTGTGGGGTTGGGGCGCCACGCCCTCGAGAGAAGCATCGGGGCGAACGCTCTCTGCGGGTGACCCTGGGTGGCTGAGGGGGCGGATGGAGGGGGGAGATGCGGGGGGGAAGCGGGGAGGTGAGCTTGAGGGGGGCAGATCGCGCCCAGCCGACTGGGATGGCGGAAGAGGCCTGGGGGGAGGGACGAGGGAGGAGGAGAAGGCGGGAGGGACATGGCGGCGAGAAGGGCGGCAGGATTGAGGGCGGGGACAGGCAGAATACAAGTGACGCCATGTGCAAAAATAATGCGTTTGATCAAAGTACTCTGGTTGAAGCTGCTGGCCGATGGCGGACCATGCCGTCTCCCCTACACGCTGCGCTCTCTGGCGGCCACAACGTGCAATTGCTGCAACACCTGAAGCAGCGATCGGCATGGCGATTGCAACACGAACTGTAAAACCACCTATGTGCCGCCCGCGCGTGGTCGGCGACCTCGCGCGCTCGAGAGGCTGGCGCGTGCTGCCCAAAGTGCGGCTCTCAAACTGGCCACGCTCGACTCATCAGCTAGAGGGCGCAGGGCTGCCAAAGGCCGATGCCGCGTCTGACGACGCAGAGCTCGAGGGCGCACCCGCGTCGCCGCGCCTGACCGAGCTCGGGGACGACGGGCCCGTGGCGGAGACAGGAAGCACCACGGCGTCGGCGGCCTGCGCGTCAGCGTCTGGGCCCAGCAGCTCGCCGTCTGCAGCCACGATGACCTTCGGCGACGTGTCCACCGTGCTCATGGTCTTCACGATGTAAGACCTCTTGATGGTGACCTCTGGGCGGACGATGCGGAGGTAGTCGCTGTGAACCTTCGCCGATCTCGAGTGCTTGCGCACCACGTTCAGCTCTTCCTTGGTGCCAGGGGGGCCCGTCTGAACCATGCTGCTGGTGAGCCAACTCGGGAACTTGACCTCCTTGTGTGAGATCAGGAGCTTCGCAACCTCGTTCGGCAACTGCTGCAAGGCACTGGCAATCTTTGCGGGCGGCACTCCGACATGTTCCCCAAGCTCGACGGACAAGAGCTTGATGTAGTTCGGCCGCTCCCGCTCCCGTGGGATCGGCTGCACCCTCGGGTTCGGCAACTGCCCTTCGCCGCCACCGACTGCACTGGCACTGCCACCGCCAAGGCCACTGGACGCCGCGTCTGGATGACGACAGATGTCGCCCACCACGAGGCCCTCCGACATCGAGTCATCCACGGCCATGGGTGCCGTCTCGGCCGCGGGCTGGGAGTCCCCAGAGTACCCGCCGACCTGCTGCCGATTGAACTCGTTCTTGTCCAGCGGCATCGCCGCGGTCTGCGCAGTCGCAGGCTCGAGACCGGATGGCCTCAAGAATGCCCTGGCGCGCGTACGAGTGCGTGCACAGCTGCTGCTGAGGCCTGGAAGGTCTGAGCAACAAATGGCAATGACGAGGAAGAGGTTGGAATGAGCCTAAGCATAATCAGCAACTCATGCCTCTCTCCACATCTAGCGCTGAGCCCTCGGAGTCAAGCGGACACACGGGGCTGGGGTCCAGCGCGATGGGGGCCCGTGGCGATGGTTCCAGGACTGGGCCCACCGCTGTTATATTTGTTGGGCTCCTAGCTGGTATGTTATTGCTAGTGCGTGGTTGGGACACCCAACCGACACACGTTTTGAACTCCCTCCTGGTATGTGTTGTAGGTACGCCCCCAACTGCTGATCTGTGTATTAGACTCCCAGATGGTCTGTTATCGCTGGCATGTGATTTGGACTCCTAGCTGGCATATGCAATTTAATTGGCTCCCAACTGGTATGTTATCGCTGGTATGTTACGTTGGACTCCCAGCTGATATGTGTTTGGGGCTCCTGGTACATGGTTTGGGGCTCCCAGCAGGCATGTGCTTTGATCTCCCAGCTGGTATGCTCTCGGGGGCACGTTTGGGATCCCAGCTGGCGTGTGTTTGGGGCTCTCCCAGCTGGAAGCGCTTCGGGCTCCCAGCTGGCATGTGCGTTGTACTTCTAGCTGGTATGTAATCTGGGTAGCCCAACACCTGCCAACAACCATGCAACGATACGACTGCCATGACATTTCTTGTTTTGCGAAGGCGTGCCCAAACGGCAGCCTTTCAACGCGCAGTGAGGCTGCAGAACTGCGCAACTGCGACGGGAATCATCGCATCACGAAGCGGGAACGGCTGAGCTGGGGAGGCCAGAGAGGCCATGCGGCCTGAATTGGAGAGCGTCGAACCGACCAACGCTGACCTACCTAGAGAGCAGGGTGACAACGTCCTTAAAGCAAGGCAGCATCCGAATTGGCCGAATGACCTGGCATGGCACCGACCGCATGCTCCAACGACGGTTGCCTCCAAGCTGGAATCCAGATTGCCGCCTTGAAGAGGCCGCCAGGTAGCTGCAGGAGTACAGGAAGCATGGGCTTGGCCGAATCGACGAACCCGAACTCAGTTTCCTCTGTCTCGCACTGGCGGTGGGGGTACAAGAAACCCATGCCATATATGTCAGTCAAGGGCCTGTAGCACGAAGGCTGCGCACCGCGTTGGCCAAGCGGGCTCAGCCTGGGCGTCTCTCCAGACATCCAAAGAAGAACCATATTTTGGCAAATCCCAACAGCGATAGGGTGCTTCTCTGCGCCGACGAGCCGCAAGGCGGCGAAGGAATTGCGGTACTCCTGGGGATAGCGCTGCTCGTTCTCATCGGCTGCCTCCACGAGCGAGTCCAGCATCGCGTGGGCGATATCAAGGCTAACACCATGAATGCAGTCCGCGTTGCCGTCACTTATGCTGCCATACGTGGCGGTGGTGATGAGCCCAGAGGGCTCTGGCATAGCGGGCGCACCTGCTGCTGCAACTGGTGGTGTTGCTCGACACCATGGCTGATCTGCTCGTGTCGCCGCGGCGAATCCCAGACTGTCCAGGCTGCGCGCCGTCGGCGGCGCGCTGCCGCTGGGCGTCCGGGTAAGTAGGGGATCCCACAAGGAGAACATATGTAATATCTTGGGCCAAAGAGGCTACGGATGAAAACTGATGCTCTAAATCAAACCCAGACACGTGCAAATATTGGCTTCTGCATTTTGGAACCCACCGCGTCTCCACAAGACGCCCTGCCCGCCAGGTCGTGAGACCCGAACCTGCTGCCCTCCGCCCCCCCCCCAGATACAAGACAAGGCCACGCAGGCGCCCTCTGGACCTAACGCAACTAATTGCGATGGCGCCGATTTAAACCCTGGGAGGTTGATGGCGTCGCCAGCGACCACGGAACGCCGATTACAACTCGGCCGCATGGACAACCATATGCCGCATGCCGTTTAACGGTTGTAGCACGCTGCGGCGCAATCAAGCAAACCTAAGGCGATCGCGAAGAAGTCTTTCGCGCCGCATGAGCACAACGACCCGCGAGCCGCATAACGCGCACGACCGACCGTGCTAAGGGAACTGCGAAACGATTTTAAATCGTTGCATTCACTGCGCGCATCTCGCGAAAGCAGCGGGAGCTTCGCAATTCACAACCCCAACAGGAACACGGCGATGCCTCATGTGCATCACCCCAAGGCAACACTGCGTTGCCCATTCCAACGGCTCAAAAAAGCTGCGCCAAAACCCGCACTTCGCAAACCCGAGGAGCAGCCTCAGTATGACTGATGCACGGCCTACCGCGCAGGCCGCGGGCATAATACAACGACGCAATCCCAGGAACGGCCCGTGGACCGCGCATCTAAGGGCCGCGCGCAGCAATGCGATGCGCGCTGTGACTCGCAACCCTTCAGGGCGCAGCTTACGCGCATGAAATAAGGGCCGCGCACGGCCCGTGGGGAGCTGCCAAACGCGGCATGTTTGTTTTATGTTGCCGCGTCGCGCCCCCACCGTGAGCGCGAAGAAATTATGTTCAGGCGCCGCGGCGCGGCCAACGAGAGCTACCATTTCCATGCCGCATTGCAGCGCGTGCGCCACCTTCACGAGCGCCAGAAGGCAATTCCCACCCGCGCGCAAGTCTCGGCGCCATGTTCGGCCCCGCGCAGCGTTGTGCCTAAGCTCCTGCAGAACTGCAACGGCCTATGGCGACCACCTGGCGCGCCGCCCGAATCGCCGTGTGCGCTATGGCATCGCATAAAAAGCCGCGTAAACAAACGCGCTCGCGAAGGCGTCACCCCCGCGCACGCTGAGAACGACTCCAACGCCCCGCCGCGGCGCACAACTCGACTCACCTCAACCCCTTGCCAGGCACCCCGACGGGGGGGTGCTAGCAGCTACCATGGCCCGTCCACATCTATGACATCAGCCGCCGCTGGCGCGAAACCCCGCGACGCCAGCGCAGCGACCAGCTGAGGGCGCGCCGCGCGGGATGATCGCGCGGCGGTGTTCGACGCCGCGCGATGTCAGAGCTATTCCGCGCCTTAACCGCAAATATCCAGTGAGTCTCGCTGGCGCCGCTGGCGTTCCGAGGGCGCAACTGGTGGCGCCGCAGCAAGTTACCCTATAACATCGGTGTCGTGTTTGCGCTGCGGCCGCCGAAAGTAGCGGACCCAGCTCTGGGCTCGGCGCGATGGTCAGCCTTGCAGGCCGCCGCGCCAGAGCCCCTACTTGGAATATTCTGGGCGCGCGCAGTTCTGTCGCGGTACCGTCAACATGTATGCCTCTGTGGGCGCCGCCGAAGAGTTCGCGTCAGTGCAATGCTGCGGCAGGACGACCGCGGCGTCGCGCAAGGGCACCGCATAGCCCAGAAGACCTCAGCCGCTTGCCCAGGGAACCCAACTGCCATTTGCACGAACACGCCGCTCGTGGACACATTCAACAGCAGCAGAGCTCTCTAAAGACACATCAGAACAAAGAACGCAGCGGACGCATCAATCGTGCACCCCTCCCGCCCCCCCCCCCCCCCCTGCCGCCATGCCGCTGCAAATGGCGTCTCCCGCCGCCCGATCGGACGGCGCGAACGTCGGCTTGGCCCCGCTCTCCATCACGCAAGAAAGCGCAACAAAACCCGACATGCCGTGACGCGCCGCCAGCGCATTCACTAGACTAGGGCACCATGCGTTCGAGCGCATTGCCCACGCGCCGCAGCATCCCCACCACGCCCAGCCCAGCCCACTCCGCCCCCCCCCCCCGCGCCCTCCTCCCCACCCCCCAGCCACCCGCCCCGCCTCGCGCCACCTCTACCCCGCGCCCGCACCCAACTCCCTTCAGAACGTCGCCAGGCTCGCGCAGAACTGGAACGCCGCCGAATTTGACCCCCCCTCCCTCCTGCCCCGTCCTCTTCCAGGCACGACAAGCATTCGTACGTGGCCCGCGCCCTGCAAGAGCAACGCAATGCTTTGCCTTGCACGAGAACCGATGCCCTGGGCCCGATGGCGGCGATGCATGGTGCCGCGCGGCTGCTTTTTTTCTTTTTTTTGTATTTGCTTTAGTTTGTTTCTTTGCTAACTTATGTCTTGGGTTATTTACTGTCTTCCTTTTGTTTTTAATTTTGCTTGCTTATTCTTTGCTGCTGCTTTGTTATTTAATGTGTTTATTTTTTTTTATATTTACCTGATTGCTTCGCTTTTTCTTTTTTCTTCTTTTCTTGTTTTTTTTGCTTATATTATGCCTGTTGCCGCGCCCCGCGCAAAGTCTGCGCCGTCGGCGAGCGTGCCGTCGTCGAGACGCGTCGGCGGCCATGGTAGCGGCGACGGGCACGCGGGCGCGACGGCTCGGGCGGCACGGCGCGCGAACGCGACGGCGCCCGCGGCGACGGCTGCACCGCGGCGCGCGCGCGCGCGGCGCGCGCCCAGGATGGCGCCCAAGCTAACGGATGAACTTGCGCGCGCGATGCCCGAGCCGACGGCGCGCGGCGCAACGCGACGCCCGCGCGCGCAGGCGGGTGACACAGCCGCGCCTTCAAGCCCACATCGCGCGACGCGCCCGTCCACCCCCCCGCGCCCTGCCCCCCCCCCCATGTAGATCGCGCGCGGGTGCACCCCCCCCCACCCCCCCCACCCTCCTATAGATTGCGCACAGAAAAGGCAGAGGCGCGGCGCGCCTCTATGTTTTGCCTATCTGCGGCCTATGTTTTGTCAATGTTTTGTCAATGTTTTGCCAATGTTTTGTCAATGTTTTTCTATGATTTTTCTATGTTTGGTCTATGATTTGCCTATCGATAGGCAAAACATAGGCAAAACATAGGCAAAACATAGGCAAAACATAGACAAAACATTGAACGCGAACTTGGTGCGCGACCGCTCGCCTCCAACTTTTTCAGCACCCAAACATTGATGGCTGCGCGCGCCTCCAATGATCACGCGCAGTGCCGATAGGCAGGCGAGCGCGCCCGCAATC